CTACAGGGGAGTCCAGCGACAAAGCCATTACACCAACTGCTGGTCCCTTTTCATTTTTAAAATTTTTCTTTAAAAAAATTTTCTTAAGGTATTTTCTTGTCTCTCAGATCCTCTTTCATCTTGCTAATAATCCCCTTTCCCCCTCTCATTTAGGAGAGGCAAAAAGGGCAGGCCTTCAAAAGAAGACTGAGTCTGCCATGAGAGCTGAGAAGGTGTGCTTTTGCACGGTGGTGCGTTTACGCACCCCGTGGTTTTCACTTTTTGGTTTTTTAAAAGAAATAGGGACCAGCAGTTAGCGTAATGGCTATGTCGCTGGACTCCCATGTAGTCGACCGTGGTTCGCATCCTGGACCCGGTGGCTTAAAACTCACGCCGGGTGTGTGTGCGTGCGTGCCCAAGATCCCGAGAGGAGAACGGAGGAGAAGGGATTGTAGCATGGCCCTCCTCCCTGGGGGGGTGATTTTCTGCTTTCTGTCTCTCTGTCTCTCTCTGTCTGTCTGGCGAGCGCACGTGCCCTATAGCGAAAACCTCTCCAAAAAAAAAAAAGAAAGAAAGAAATAAGTAGGACCAGCAGTTAGCGTAATGGCTATGTCGCTGGACTCCCATGTAGTCGACCGTGGTTCGCATCCTGGACCCGGTGGCTTAAAACTCACGCCGGGTGTGTGTGCGTGCGTGCCCAAGATCCCGAGAGGAGAACGGAGGAGAAGGGATTGTGGCGTGGCCATCCCCCCTGAGGGGGGATTTCTCATTTTCTGTCTCTTTGTCTCTCTCTGTCAGGTGAGCGCACATCATGCCCTATAGCAAAAACCTCTAAAAAAAACAAAAACAAAAACAAAAACAAAGAAATAAGTAAAGAATGTTTGTGGTTTTTTTCTTTCATTTTTTCCTTGTCTTTTCTCTCTCTCTCTCTCTCCTTATACTTTTTCTTTTACTTCATCCCTTTGCTGCTCAGCCCCCACGCACAGTGTCTAACAGGTCTGCGTGAACCGTAGCCAAACATCCGAACACTGTGAGGGTCAACATATTCCTAATTCTCACCGAATCTGCCACACAGAGGGAGAAAAATGGAATGGCAAAGAGTTTGCAGGTCACCTCCTCCTGCACACCTCCGAATGCTCAGATTGAACTTAGAGAAATTCAGAAGAAACAAATAACCCATCATATGACAGAAATCCCTGCAGAGATGCAAGAAATATGAGAAACCAAGAAAATAACCCTCCCCTCAGGGAAAAGAACAACTCCCCTTCATCCACAGGGAGGACCATGGAACTCACAGAGCTGTCTGATAAAGAATTTAGAGATTCATAGAGACGAAGCTAACAGAGATGCACGAGAAGAGAGACAAGGAACTCCGGAAGAGGCAGGAGAAAGGAGCCGCTGAGTTATAGGAGGGAGGAAGTTCCTGGAGAGCTGAAAGAGGAAATACACACCATAAAAAAAGAATCAAATGGACCTGTTAGAGATGAAGGCTATAACACAGGAAGTCAAAACCTCCCTTGAAAGTGTTAAAAGCAGACTAGATCGTACAGAAGATCGAATCTCAGAGGTAGAAGGCAGGATCACTGGCGTAGAGAAATCCTCCACGAAGACTGAGAAAATGGCCCCCAAAATGAGAATAATACACGAGAAATACCAGATATCATTAAATGTCCAAACAGCCAGGTAATTAGCTTCTCAGGTGGTGAAGACTAATATAATAAGGGTACTGATAATCTACTCCATGAAATCCTGGAAGAAAACTTTCCAAACCTACAGAGGCACTCAAAGATCTGGACCCAAGAAATACAAAAGACCCCCTTAATAAAGTTTTAGCTTTATTTAGGCTAAAACTCTTTTCCTTTAAATGAAAAAATATATTTAAAAAAAAAACCCTATTTAATGACCACAGTAAGCTATATAGCCTCAGCTAGGTGCTACTTTATAGTATATTCATTCTACCCACAGAGTTTCATGCCTAAAGTCAACGTGTTCACAGATAGGTATTATCAGCCGAACTTACTATTGAAAGTAGTTAATTAATTAAGATATTTTGTGAATTAAGAAAATATGGGGAAAATTTTAAAAAGAATAGAAAGCAACTGCAGATACAAGAGACAGGGTGTGAGGAGGGTGGGAAATGGCAGAGGGTGAGAAATAGGGAGAAAAAGTATATACAAGAAACAACACATGGAAAATTATTTGTTGCTGTTAACATGTATGATTAAGTCACTACACAGTGGATTTCAGATGGGAAAACGAATTTTGTATGTTGTGATGATGTTCAGTGGAAGAATGTAAAATAAAGAAATAACTTTAAAAAAATAAATTAACCTATGGTCCATAAAAAGAGAGAGAGCCTCTAACTGGTCTAGCAAACAAAACAAAGAAAGAGTGCAATGAGGGAATCGACTCTGTGCAGCAATTAGGTGCTGCCCAGACCAAGGCGGAGGCCACATGGCCAACCACGGGCCAAGTCTCAGCCTCTAGTGGCCTGAAAAGCACACAGGGCACATGCACCTGTGCCCAGGAGCCCGGAAGGGTGAAGTGGAGGACAAGCTGTCACAGGATGAGCAGGCCCATTGAAGGGCTCCCTCCCTCTGTCTCATGCAGACATACCCTTGCCGGCATTGAAAACAAAAGAGCAGCGATGATTTAAATAGTATGACGAAATTAAAAGGTAATGATGGAATAAACCTATCCATTAATGAATGTGTTGACGGTGAATATATGCACTTAGTTTTTAAATGGCTCACACGTTAATAAGCAAGTGTATAAATTAGTGAATGCATGTCACGAGTGAATACATGATGATACAAATAAGCACTGAAGAAACCAGGGAATGGACGGAGAGAGTGAAATAAAACACATTTCACCAGAGAGGAAGGACGGGAGGGAAAGGGACGAAGGGAGGGAAACTGCGGGCACAGCCAGCCCGGGAGGGCACAGACGCCGCAGGGGCTCCGTCCCGGCCAGCTCACCCGGCCGAAGAACTGCAGGAAGGTCTTGGAGAGCAGCAGGTGCTTCTCGGCCAGGAAGCGGTAGCGCCGCTTCTCTTCCAGCTCCGCAGCCCGCTGGCTCTCGGCCACGAAGGCCTGCATCTGCGCGTGCAGCCGGTTCACGCTCTCCTGTGGGGACGGGGTTCCGGCTGGGGACAGCGGCCGGTGCCTCGTCCCACCCCCACGGGGTCCAGCTGTCTGAAGTCCCTCTGTCCTTCCTGACCCAGCTGCTCTCCCTGGAGGCCTCCTCTGAGCACCAGCCCATGCTGGCTCCTGACTTGCCCCCTCACGAGCATCTTCATCCTCGTGAGTTCGGGCCCTGGGTCCCCCTGGCCCGGGCGCTTCTCACAGCAGGGCTGGTGCTGAGCCATCGCTCTGTCCCTGGCACCCAGCGCAGGCCCGAGAACAGGGTGGGGCCCAGGGAGGGTGGTTTAATGGGAAGACGAATGAGCCGGTTAATAACCCCTACTTGGAAGGGAAGCTTCTGAAGAGGGGAGACATAAGCTGACCCTTACAGGAGCCAGAGAGGAAACACGAAGGGAGGTAGAGGGTTGCCCCCCAAGGTTGGGTCTCAGGGATGGCGCCCTGAGTTGGGAAGATGGACTGGCCTTTGCCAGGAGCCTGAGGGCTGCAGGATGGAGGGGGTACGGGTGCTCGCACTGTGCTGCCAGTTCGGGTGCAGCAGGACAATGGGCCCAGCTTTCCCAGTGAAATAGGAAAAGGGGGGCAAGGCTGGGGCTGCGGGAGGGGCCTGGGGAGCTTGGAGGAGGCCAGGCAGAGCCTGGAGCTTGGAGGGCCAGGAGCAGAGCTGAGGGTGGCCATGGAGGCCGGGGT